GTCTCACTATGTTGGCCCAGGATGGTGTTGAATTCCTGGCCTCAAGTGATTCTCCCATCTCAGCCTCCCAAACCACCTGGATTACAGGTGTGAGCCACCATACTGGGCCCCAAAGGAAGCATTTGTAGGGATTAGAGTTGCCTGCAAGAAGATGAGACTGCAATTCTATTTCCCATGCGGATATCTGGTTAGGCAATAGATTACTGAACTATCTCCAGGGTCTAACTGAGCAAGAGAGAAGAAAATTTGAGGGAAATGGCCCTTTCCTTCTTCCCCACCCCCATATACTAGAGGAACTAGGAATAGTTCCTTTCCTTTAAGTCAGGAAAGAAGGTGTTAGAGTCTCTGATGTGGCCCACTCAGAGTGCTGTTCTCATCTGCCTGGGTTCTAAACAAATTGAGAAACCAGATAGAGATGGTGACAAAGCCAGATAGATGGTGACAAAAACTCACCTTTTTGGTAATAAAGGCCAAATTGAGGCGTATAGTTTAGAGGGGAGCCAAATAAGTGAGCTAATGAATCCCTGAATTAGGCAGACTCACCATCCAGTGGAAGTAGCATGGTCCCCAGCAGCCTCCAGACATGGGACCCTGCCCAGATGAGACTTAAAACAAGGAGCAGAAGAGAACTCCTTCTCCCTGCAGGCAGGCTCTAGCCTAAGAACACAAAAGAAAAGAAATTTATTTATTATTATTATAATTTTTTGAGGCAGAGTCTCACTCTGTTGCCCTGTCTGGAATGCAGTGGCAGTCTCTGCTTACTGTAGCCTCCACCTCCCAGGTTCAAGCAATTCTCGTGCCTCAGCCTCCCCAGTAGCTGGGATTACAGGTGCATGCCACCACACCCAGCTAATTCTGTGTATTTTTAGTAGAGATGGGGTTTCACTATGTTGGCCAGGCTGGTCTCAAATTCCTGACCTCAAGTGATCTACACACCTCAGCCTCCCAAAGTGCTGGGATTACAGGTATAAGCCACTGTGCTGGGCTAGAAAAGAAATGTAAAAGGAGGCACTGAATCAACCATGCCCAGCTTACTCTCACTTTTATGAATCAAGTAAGTCACTCTACTTGTCGTGGACAGGGTAAGTTAATGGAAAGTGTCACGATACTTGAGCTCTCTTATTTGAAAGGAAACATAATGGTGAGGGAGAAGCCTTCCCCCTATTAAGGACAGGGGATGGCTTACTGCTACATTTTATTCCTCTACTTCTGCTCTAAGCAATCAGGGTAAAACCTAAACCTGGGATGAGGAGTGGTGTGTATGTGATGAGGGTCAGATTTATACTGAATTTAAGTTTTAACTCCAAACGGATCATCAATGAAGTGTAAGAGTTGCAACTAAAAAGCGCTTGGAAAAGAACACAGGTGTAAAGCTTCAAGACTTTGGGTTAGGGCCAGGCACAGTGGCTCACACCTGTAATCTCAGCACCTTGGGAGGCCGAGGCAGGTGGATCACTTGAGGCCAGGAGTTCCAGACCAGCCTGCCAACACGGTGAAACCCTGTCTCTACTAAAAATACAAAAATTAACCAGGTGTGATGGCACGCGCCTGTAATCTAAGCTACTTGGGAGGATGAGGCAGGAGAATTTCTTGAACCTGGGAGGCGGAATTTGCAGTGAGCCAAGATCACACCACTGTGCTCCAGCCTAAGCGACAGAGCAAGACTCCAGCTCAAACAAAACAAAAACAAAAACAAACAAACAAAAAACAACTTTGGGTTAGACAAAGCCTCCTTGGATACAAAAAAAGTATGAGGCTTGGTGCAGTGGCTTACGCCTGTAACCCCAGCGCTTTGGGAGGCAGAGGCAGGCAGATCACCATGAGGCCAGTCTGGCCAACATGGTGAAACCCCTTCTCTACTAAAAATACAAAAATTAGCTGGGTGTGGTGTCGCACACCTGTAGTCCCAGTTATTCAGGAGGCTGAGGCACAGGAATTGCTTGAACCCGGGAGGTGGAGGTTGCAGAGAGCTGAGGTGACACCACTGCACTCTAGCCTGGATGACAGAGTGAGAGCCTGTGGCAAAAAAAAAAAAAAAAAAAAAAAAAAAAAGCATGAGTGAAAGAAAAAATAGACTGGATTTTATCTAAACTTAAGACTTTTGTGCTTCAAAGGCTATCATCAGGGATGTGAAAAGACAACCCACAGAATGAGTTTTGCAAATCATATATATGATAAGGGACTTGTACCCAAAATATACAAAGAACTCTTAGAAATCAATAATTAAAAGACAACCTAATTTAAAAATGAGCTAAAGATCCAAATAGACATTTTCCTAGTGAAGATATACAAATGGCCAGTAAACACACAAACAAATGCTCAACATTATTAGCCATTAGAAAAATGGAAATCAAAACCACAATGAGATTTCACTTCATACCCCCCAGTATGGTTCTAATGAAAAAGACAAACAATAAGTGTTGAGAAGGATGTAGAGAACTCCCATACACTGCTGGTGGGAATGTAAACTGGTGCTGTTGCTTTGGAAAACAGTCTGGCAGTCAACAATTAAACGTCATGTTTAAACAATTACACAATATACATACTTATATAACCTAGCAATTCCATCGCCCCAAAAATGAAAACATACATTCACACAAAACCTTGTACACAAATATTCATAGCAACATTATTCACAAAAGCCAAAATATTGAAACAATCCAAATGTCCATGAACCGATACGGCACATCCATACGTAAGAATGTTATTTGTCAATCAAAAGGAATGAAGTATGAATACATACCACAACATGAATGAATCTTAAAACATTATGCTAAGTGATTGAAGCCACGGAATGTCTACCCTGGACCTCATAGCCCAAGATGGGGATGAGGAATAGGAAGATGCAGCAGAAACATGGCTTCTGGGAGTAAACTTTGGGGGTGAGGCAGGCAGTTTCTGTAAAGGTTTCCCTTAGAAAACATACTGCAGCCGGGCACAGTGGCTCATGCCTGTAATCCCAGCACTTTGGGAGGCTGAGGTGGGTGGATCACAAGGTCAGGAGTTTTAGACCAGCCTGGCCAACATCAACATCGTGAACCCCCATCTCTACCAAAAAAAATACAAAAATTAGCTGGGCATCATGGCGCGCACCTGTTGTCCCAGCTACTGTGGAGGCTGAGGTGGGAGAATTGCTTGAACCCGGGAAGCAGAGGTTGCAGTGTGCTGAGATCATGCCACTGCACTCCATCCTGACAGAGAAAGTGAGACCCTGTCTCAAATACACACACACACACACACACACACACACACACATATATATATACACACACACATACACACACCTCAATATGTGTCCTACCAGGGCTCTGTGGGTAAGGGCTGCCTGTCCCAGGGCTGCATGTTGGGATCTGTGCCATGTTGACAGCTTTTCCTGGATCTCCTTCAAGTTACACATCCCTGACCTCACCAAGGTGCATACCCTACTCTGCTTCTGGTTACAATTATGCCACCAAGAGATGGACAGTGAGTGGCTGGCTGGGCAAAGGAAGCTCTGAGTCTGAAGGAAGTAGGGAAGGTGAGGGTACAGCTCCCTGAGAACCTGACCTGGGGACAGTGGGACCAGCCCCAAAGGGGATAGGGAAGATATAGAAGACAGACCCCTGGAATGTAAATGGCTGTCTGCTAGACGGCTCATCTGTGCCTCACAGTCATTTCCATGAAATTACCACCCCAAGGCACTAATAAGTGATCTAGGAGACAGCCAGTATTTTGCATAATTTCCAGAAAGCCAGTACTAAATGGAGACTAGGATTGATTCCCTTTTGTTTTCTAAGAATAATAAGGGCATGTGGATGAGTGTGTCATCATAACAGCAGAGGCTGAGGGACACCTGGTGACCCCCTGTTGAGGAGCTGGCCCAAGGGATCCTCTGGAGTGGCCCACAGGGAGGAGAGAACTCAACTTTTGGAGTTTTGCTTCAAAACTGGCCTATGTCTATAGGTCAGACAGGACTATGGCATCTCCCAGGCCCTGGGCTCCTTCCTTCAGCCTGCAAACATGTCCAAGCTTCATTCTACATTATAAAATTGTCCCTCACCCGCCTCAGTTATCGTATCATCTCTCTACTCCCTGTCACAGCCAGACTTCTAGAAAGAGTTGTCTGCATCTGCTGCCTTTACTGCTCACATCAAAGTCATTAAAGCTGAAGTCAATGCCTGTCTCCCTTGCCCTTCTGTGGTATTTAACACTCTTTGGAAATCTTTGTCCTTTGGCTTCTGTAATACAACCCCCTCCTGGTTCTCTTTCTATCTTTCTGATTACTCTGAGTTCATCTTTTTCATGGAATTCTCATCCACAGCCCATTCCTTAAATGCTGTGCACCCAGAGTTCTGTTCTTGGCACCCTTCCCTTCTTGCTTTGGGTGACCTCATCCATTCCTTTGGCTTTAACCAATCCCTCCCATGCAGACAACTCTCAGCTCCATATCCCTTTCTCAATTCCAGCCTTTATCTTGTCCTACCACCTGGAAACACCATGGTCTCCAAATTCAATATTTACACAATTGAGCTAATCATCAGCTCCTTCAAATTCGATCCTGTGATGTTCTTCAGTTCAGTTGGTGGCAAGACTTCTAGACAATCTCTGCATCCACTGCCAATGCAAATTTACCATCTCCGATTAGCTCGGTCTTTCCTAATTCCTACACCAAATTCCCATCATCATTACTTTGGTTCAGGTCTCATCATTTCTCATATGGATTTTGCAGCAGTTTGCTAACAGGTTTTCCTGCTTCTCATCTTTCCCTCCCTCTAGTCCATCTTCCATATTACTCTCTAAGTGATCTATCGAAAACAGAAATCTAAGCTGGGTGAGGTGGCTCACACCTGTATATCCCAGAACTTTGGGAGGCCAAGGTAACAGAATTGCTTGAACCCAGGAGTTTGAGACCAGCCTGGGCAATGTAGTGAGACATTGTCTCTACAAAACAGACAACCACTAAAAAGGTGTGACTCTATCACCAGGTTGAAAATCCTCTAATGACTCTCCATTTCCCTCAGGAGAAAACCCAAATGCTTGATCCTGAATCCACTATGAAGGCATGACCCTGGGCCCTCGCTGTGATCAATGGGACCTGATAGAAAGTCTGCAGGTGGGTAATTGGGAGAGGTTTTCCTCACTACTAAAAAGCAATGCACAGGAGCAAATGCCTTTCTTCTTTGGAGATGAAACGTCTGCTTGTAACACCTGGAAGTGCTTTGACCATCTCTTAACTATGAGGAAAGACACTGCAGACATAACAAGGACAAAAGAGCAGAAAGATAGAAAATATTTGGGTCCTGCTGCTATCCCTAAGCCACTGAATTAGCCAGCCCCAGAATGGCTCACCTCCAGATTTTCTGGAGCATGAGATAGTCACTGTTCTAATTATTTAAGCTGCTTTAGTTGGGTTTCCGGTTACTTGGAGCTGAAAGTACCCTAATTAACACATTTATAGGATGTTTCTCTTTAAAGATAGAGAAAATACCAAGATTTTATAAAGATGAAGTCTTCTATGACTCCCTTAGGAAGCATTAGGTCCAAATCCTCCTATTGTTCACATAGCAATAAGTATTTCATCTGTTGTGGCACTTAGAATGGAATTTTTGTTTTGTTTTTGGGCTTCTTTTAACTTATTAACTTATTATAGCCAAAACAGTTAACTGCTACAATGAACAGCCAACTGCATTCCCAAATTCAATTTCCTACTCTTGCAAACACAAACTTCCCCACCCCTCAGAGCCACATCCAGCCTGCTTTAATCCTTAGATAAGTGCAAGGAAATAACAATAGCTAGTCAGCTACATTCTGCGGAGAGCAGGGTGTCACAGCTCCTGTCTGCTGAAACGTCTAGTTGTGCTGGGCTTGTCGTCATGGAAACACAGCTGATGCTGTGAGCATATGGCCTAGAGCCTCTGTCTCTTCCATTCCCAGCGAGGGAGAGGAGCTGGTACTTGCTTACAACATGACAATGTCCTATATTGTCTGTTGGGTTTGTTGAATGAAGGGGGAGAATAGATCACTGTGGAGGGGGCTGAGCTGAAAGTGTTGTAATGAATTAGAACTTAGAGAGCTCTAGTTCCTTTATGAACAGCCCCTGAGTAAGGCCTGTGCACCTAAAAATGTGGCAGATGAATCTGGGGAGGTTGGAGGAGTGGTGAGGAGGAGGTAGGGAAACAAACATGTAATGAATGCTCACTGTGTGCCTGACGCTATATTTTGTACAATAACAATAACTAGCATTTTTGAAACTTTTAAGTCAAGGTACTTTCTACATTTTATTTAACCCATACAACCATCCCATGGGATGAACTCTATTACTCTCTCAATTTTTCAGAAAAGGAAACCCAGTAAATAATTTTCCAAAGTCATGCAGCCAGGAAGTGATAAGCCCAGGCTTGAACCCAGGGTTGTCTATGCCTAAAATGTCTGCATAAACCTATGCTATACTGTCTCTTTGCTATAAGTGCTTTGGATTTATTTTGTTCAGATAAATTATTTTGATATTAGACTTCTGTCTTAGTCCATTTGGGCTGCTGTAACAAAATACTATAGACTGAGTGGCTATAAACAGCAGAACTATATTGCTTACAGTTCTGGAGGCTGGGAAGTCCAAGATCAAGGTGCGAGCATGGTTGGGTTCCAGTGAGGGCCAGTTTCCTCATAGACAGCTGCCTTCTCACTGCAACCTCACATGTGGAAGGGGTGAGGGATCTCTCTGGGGTTTCTTTTATAAGAGCACTAGTCCCATTCATAAGGGCTTTGCCCTCATGACTTAATCATCTCCCAAAGGCCCCACCTCCCAATACCATCATCACCTTAGGGGTTAGGATTTCAGTATGTAACTTTTAAGGGGACACAAACATTCAGATCATAGCAATTTCACACCAAGCTTATAAGATATAGTGTTTGTCTGAAATATCCTTACATACAGTACGTAGATGAGAGTCTTTTGAACTGTTAATTGTAATATAGTATAATTCTCATGATAATTCAGTGATGTAGGAATCATTATCTCCAAATAATAAGGAGTCTTATGCTCAGATTAATTAACCAAATTGACCAGGGTCACATGGCTGGTGGTTAAAAGGGAACCAAAAACCAATGAGTGCCATTCCAAAGCCTGTGTACCATCTATTCTCCACTATGCTTCAGGGATAGGCAGGTTGCCTCTCTCTGTCCACTGTGCCTTCAGTTGCCAATGGGTTGACTCCAAAACCCAATGCTCTCATTAATCAAGGGACCTCCATACCCAACTACTTTCTCAATTCCATAGGCATACTCGGCATTCTCAGACGAAACCGAATTAAAACACAACCACCACAACTAGAAAACCCAATGTGTCTAAAGTTGAACTAAAGATCACCCTAAAACATGCTCCCCACTAGTACTCTGATCTCAGTAAATGGCACCATCATTCACCCTGTTTTTCATTCCAGTAATGTTGTAGAACTTTATTCCTTAGTTCAGCTAAAACTTGCGTTCTTGTCACACTACCAGGGAAATTTAGGCATGTGGATGCATTGAAGGGCAAGTAAAGCAGGACTTTATTGAACAAAAAGGAAAAATAGAAAAAAAACAACTCAGCAAGTGAAATGGAGTCCTGCTAATAGACCCTCCACCTCACAGATTGATTCCCAGGTCACCACTTGAACTGAAGAGTGCAGGCTCCTCTGCTGCCTAAGGCACAAACTTCCTGAGGCTCCACCCCCTTCCCCAGTGTGCAGGTGGGCATTATTTAGAGAGAACCAGCTGGGAAAGTGTGGGCTTCATCTGGGACCAGGAGTCTGGTTTTTCAGACTTCAGGCATTTTTAGGCTTGAAACTGGGGTTTTGCTGGGGACCCTTGGCTGTCTTCCGTCTCTATCAGTAACATGAGTGTCACCTGTAACATGGCCTTCTCCCTTTCTCTTGTTACATGGAATCAATCATTGAGTCCCGATAGTTTTATGCCTCATTGGTCTAGTCACCCCACTTCCCTAATCCATGTCATTAACATCTCCTGTCTGAATTATTGCAAGAGTCACCTAGCAGACCTCCATGCCTCCACTCTTGCATCCTTCCAATTTGGTCTTCATTGCAGCAGCCTCAATATCACCATTTTGCTTAGATGATTTCCTATTACTCTTTGGAGAACATCCAGAATCTTTGTGTGTGTGTGTCTTTCTTGAGATTTTCTCAAAGTCTTTTTTTTTTTTTTTTTTAATACTTTAAGTTCCAGGGTACATGTACACAACGTGCAGGTTTGTTACATATGTACACATGTGCCATGTTGGTGTGCTGCACCCATTAACTCGTCATGTACATTAGGTATATTTCCTAATGCTATCCCTCCCCCCTCCCGCCTCCCCACAATAGACCCCGGTGTGTGATGTTCCCCTTCCTGTGTCCAAGTGATCTCATTGTTCAATTCCCACCTGCGAGTGAGAACATGCAGTGTTTGGTTTTCTGTTCTTGCAATAGTTTGCTGAAAATGGTGGTTTTCCAGCTGTATTCATGTCCCTACAAAGGACACGAGCTCATCCTTTTTTATGGCCGCATAGTATTCCGTGGTGTATATGTGCCACATTTTCTTAATCCAGTCTGTCACTGATGGACATTTGGGTTGATTCCAAGTCTTTGCTATTGTGAATAGTGCCGCAATAAACATACATGTGCATGTGTCTTTATAGCAGCATGATTTATAATCCTTTGGGTATATACCCAGTAATGGGATGGCTGGGTCATATGGTATTTCTAGTTCTAGATCCTTGAGGAATCGCCACAGTGTTTTCCACAATGGTTGAACTAGTTTACAGTCCCACCAACAGTGTAAAAGTGTTCCTATTTCTCCACATCCTCTCCAGCACCTGTTGTTTCCTGATTTTTTGATGATTGCCATTCTAACTGGTGTGAGATGGTATCTCATTGTGGTTTTGATTTGCATTTCTCTGATGGCGAGTGATGATGAGCATTTTTTCATGTGTCTGTTGGCTGTATGAATGTCTTCTTTTGAGAAGTGTCTGTTCATATCCTTTGCCCACTTTTTGATGGGGTTGTTTGCTTTTTTCTTGTAAATTTGTTTGAGTTCTTTGTAGGTTCTGGATATTATCCCTTTATCAGATGAGTAGATTGCAAAAATTTCCTCCCATTCTGTAGGTTGCCTGTTTGCTCTGATGGTAGTTTCTTTTCTGTGCAGAAGCTCTTTAGTTTAATTAGATCCCATTTGCCAATTTTGGCTTTTGTTGCCATTGCTTTTGGTGTTTTAGACATGAAGTCCTTGCCTATGCCTATGTCCTGAATGGTATTACCTAGGTTTTCTTCTGTGGTTTTTATGGTTTTAGGTCTAACATTTAAGTCACTAATCCATCTTGAATTAATTTTCGTATAAGGAGTAAGGAAAGGATCCAGTTTCAGCTTTCTACTTATGGCTAGCCAGTTTTCCCAGCACCATTTATTAAATAGGGAATCCTTTCCCCAGTTCTTGTTTTTCTCAGGTTTGTCAAAGATCAGATGGCTGTAGATGTGTGGTATTATTTCTGAGGGCTCTGTTCTGTTCCATTCGTCTATATCTCTGTTTTGGTACCAGTACCATGCTGTTTTGGTTACTGTAGCCTTGTAGTATAGTTTGAGGTCAGGTAGCGTGATGCCTCCAGCTTTGTTCTTTTGACTTAGGATTGTCTTGGCAATGCAGACTCTTTTTTGGTTCCATATGAACTTTAAAGCAGTTTTTTCCAATTCTGTGAAGAAAGTCATTGGTAGCTTAATGGGGATGGCATTGAATCTATAAATTACCTTGGGAAGTATGGCCATTTTCACAATATTGATTCTTCCTCTCCATGAGCATGGTATGTTCTTCCATTTGTTTGTGTCCTCTTTTATTTCACTGAGCAGTGGTTTGTAGTTCTCCTTGAAGAGGTCCTTCACATCCCTTGTAAGTTGGATTCCTAGGTATTTTATTCTCTTTGAAGCTACTGTGAATGGGAGTTCATTCATGATTTGGCTCTCTGTTTGTCTGTTACTGGTGTGTAAGAATGCTTGCGATTTTTGCACATTGATTTTGTATCCTGAGACTTTGCTGAAGTTGCTTATCAGCTTTAGGAAATTTTGGGCTGAGACGATGGGGTTTTCTAAATATACAATCATGTCATCTGCAAACAGGGACAATTTGACTTCTTCCTTTCCTAACTGAACACCCTTGATTTCTTTCTCTTGCGTGATTGCCCTAGTCAGAACTTCCAACTCTATGTTGAATAGGAGTGGTGAGAGAGGCCATCCCTGTCTTGTGCCAGTTTTCAAAGGGAATGCTTCCAGTTTTTGCCCATTCAGTATGATATTGGTTGTGGGTTTGTCATAAATATTTCTTATTATTTTGGGATATGTTCCATCAATACCAAATTTATTGAGAGTTTTTAGCATGAAGGACTGTTGAATTTTGTCAAAGGCCTTTTCTACATCTATTGAGATAATCATGTGGTTTTTGTCTTTGGTTCTATTTATATGCTGGATTACGTTTATTGATTTCCATATGTTGAACCAGCCTTGCATCCCAGGGATGAAGCTCACTTGGTCATGGTGGATAAGCTTTTTGATGTGCTGCTGGA